TTCCCCTCCCCTCCCCTGCTGCCCTAGGCTCTCACTGAAGTCACTATACTTCTCCTCTTCCAAGGATATCACAACATCCGGCTTGAGAATCACTGTCTTACAGTCTGTTTATTGCTCTGCCTCAGGTCCTTTTTCACTAATTACTAAGCTTGGGCCCAGAGAATTTGCCCCGTGTCAAGTATGCATCTGCTTTCTTATGGGAGGCCACAGTGACTCATTCTAAGCCCAAATGGAATTGGGCTTTTCTTTATCAACGCGGACGTGCCCTACCAAACCTGTTGGTGAACTTAATCCAGTTTGGGGTGTGCCCTGTAATGCGATGGGGAGCCTCATTGTACTCTGCACTTTTTTTATTAGCAAATAATGTTTGTCTTAGCACTGCTTTGAGCCCAACCTGGAGAAAAGAGCCCATCTTGTTCAAGCTCGTTTAGGCAGCTCAGGAATAGTTTGTTTTCCTTTTTCCTCCTTGTTTTACTCCTACAGGTAAACTTATAAGTCTATGAACACACAGCAGTGATGACTGACGATAGCAGCCATCTGGTCTTGGCTTTGGGGATGGTTTCCAATACGAAATCTTTCTTTTTGACACTCAGCAGCTATTTCCCGGAAGGCAGGGACCAGCGGGCTAGAAATCACCACTACTGGGCTTTATTCCTGGTTCCACAAGGAGAGTGTGGTCTGTGGATATGAGCAGAAGACCTGTGATTCAGGACTTGTGGGTCACTATGTTTCTATGTAGTGCATTAAAGATGGAAGAGGCCAAGTAAAACTAGTGAAGCAGTGAATGAGTTCAAAAGTCACTTTTTTCCCAGGGGGAGACTTGAAATCTACCTCTTATATGACAATCAGTTTGTGTTTTATAGGGGAGATAAGGGCAAAACTTACATGATTTTTCTTTTTATAATACATTCTCCCTCTACCCCTTTATTTCTAAGGTTTTATTTCTCTCATTCTCCTCTCATTTACCCCTTATGCACAAGAACACATCCTCACTCCCATCCCGTATACCATTAGCTAGAACTTCTTCAAACTCTGCAAGGCAGGACTGTGCTTTCCCAGGCCCTTCCCCCACCTGACTCCTCTCAGCTAAAGCTTAATTCCTTATGAACTATTAAGCTGCACAAGATGAGATTTTTATGGCATTTAAATAATAAACTTCCTGTTTGAGATGCTTAAAAAAACCCCCTCCACACAGCCCAGTGTCTCTGTGGCTGAACAGCACTGTCTAGCTGTTGTCAGTCTCTTGCCAAGGCTG